TAGGATTGGAATTACAGCAAAAGATTTCTTACAATTTGGATTAACCCTAAACGGAGAACTGAGAAAAATGATAAAGAAAACGGAGAAGTGAAAAGACAAGTGAAGGGGTTTTTACAAAAATGGGTCTGATGGCAATGAACGAAGCAATGTTAGAAAGAGAAAATATTACGCTTGTTTCCCATGAACTCTAGCAGTGTTAGGTCATTGTCAACTGGTCAAAACTATTTGCGTTTCAGAAAGTGTGTCATTGTCAATGTGTCTTCATTGTCGTCAAGTATCACTTTAGCCAAATCTTCATGATTTTGAATCGGCCTTTTACCACACCCATATTTTCAGACATGACACATACCCACTTGTAAATCGTATATGTAGTGTTGGTAATGCAATCGTGGTAATTGAATCTCTTAATTTTTCACCCCCAATTCATCTCAATCAAGACGTGGCCTAAAATTCTGAAGAAAACACAATTAGCTTTGGAAAATAATTAATTACACAAAGATCACTTAAGAAAGACCAATTTAAAATTATTAACTGAATTTTACCATCCATATTATCTCTGCTACTTATCAATTAGCTGATACTCCGGTATTATTACTAAGCCTTTAAGTGAAGAACGATTCAATTTTATTCAACTGGAGTTGAGGATGCTAAAGGTACACTATACCTATCGTATTATTTAGTAGATGTGTCCCGCTGCACAGTATGTCAAGTGCTTGACCCTTATGTCATGTCCTTGATATATATCGTGAATAACTAAATATTGGAACGGCATATTTGGTGAATATTGTTGAAATACTTTTTTAAATAGCTAATGAAAATATCTTTTGACAGTAGCTCTTCAAAATACTTTTGTGAAATTTTCTTGAAAAAAAACCATTTGGTTTCTCAATCTTATTTCTTCTCGTGTCCCGGTTTTCCTCTTTACCGCTTTTGATGCATGTCTACTAATTAATTCTCCCATTGATCCTTCCATTGAATTGTCAAATCAAACCTGTGTATAGGGTCTTTAATGCATGTGCTACTTCACTATTTCGCAGTGAAATAAAGTGTTGGAGGCCATACAGTTTCTTCATCATTCCTATGTACTCAGTTTCTTCATCATTCTTCTCCCAAATTTGTTTCCCCTTTTAAATTCGGAATTACCAAAAACAAAAATGTCTGAACCTAATAATCAAGGATTGTCACCTCATTCTCATACACTCATCAATTTTCATACCTATTCTCTAACCCTTCTGCCTCTCTTCCTATTTATGGTTATACTTCGGGTTTTAGAGCACAACCTGTTTATTCTGGCCCGGGTGCTGCATCAGCAAACTGGATTGTCAAACAATCTACCCCTTTTACTCCTTATTCTGTGGTATGCTTTCGTTTTCTATGAAAATCAGATACGTTTGTTTGTTTTTTTTAATTGATTTTATGGGTTATGATTGAGTTTCATCTGTTCTTGATAACGTTTAGATTTACTGCTTGATAACATGTGTACTTCCAGTGAGTAACAATGCACAACACAACCTTTCAAAAAAACGAAAAATCGAAGAACCATGGTGTGATGTTTGCAAGATCGGGTGCACAAGCAATGATTGTCTTAAGAAGCATGTAGTGGGAAAGAAACACCAAAAGAACTTACGAAAGCTCTACAACCCCATTAATTAGTAATTTCTCCACTGTTGCTGATCTCAGTGCTATCCCTCACCCCACTTATCTCTTTCTGGTTGTATTATACTCCGTACTTATCTAGTTGTCTGTTTGAAAAACAATATTAGAAGTGTAGTAGCATATGGTACATTGGTTGGACTATGTGCAGAGAATGCATTTTGCATATGAGCTATTCTGTGGACATTAGGATGTAATAGTTATTAAGGGCTTTGCCCTAGAATTATTGCGTGCTTCTTACTGTGTTTATAAAGTTTGTTTAAGATTAGGACCGGATTGTTATTAGCAGTAAACTAATCGCATTAGTTCACAAATCATGTAAACATGTTTTAAAATATCTTTTGAAAGTATATTTTGAAAATAACCGATTACAGTTAATCTCCATATATGTCGTAAAACATTATGATTACCTAAAACTCCATGTATACCTATACATTTGGGTGATTTTTGTGCCACTTTAGTCACGATATACGAAAATTTTCAGGGTGGTGTAAGAGAAATATACAAGATTGTACCACTTTTAATACGGTGGTATAAAAACCTCATATTTTGTACCACTCTCGAGACATGGTGTTACCCTTTTCAATTTCGCCTTTGCTTGTGAAAGAAGTAGAAGGCGGAGGGACTGAATTTGTTTTTCCTACTTGCTCAAGTGTGAAACTATGTTTTCTTGGTATCTGTACGTTGGAAATTTATTTGGGTTATCTTTGCTCCACTTTAGACACGAACATATGAGATTATTTAGGGTGGTAAAAAAGATGGATTACATGTCATACAAGACATTGTACTTTCCGAATCCTCGTCATAAAGAGATTGTTTAGGGTGGTAAAAGAGATGGATATTTGTTGTTTGAACATTGTTTCTCACAGACGCAGTTTCGTAAATAACATGTACCACTTCGGTCATCGTGGTACATTTTATTTACGGAATGGATGATTAATATGTACCACTTTAGTGACGGAGGTACAGTTTATTTACGAAATGGATGATAACATTGTACCACTGTTGTCACGGCGGTACATTTTATTTACAGTGGTACATTTTATTTATGAAATGGATGATAAAATTGTAACACTTTATAGTGTTTGTGTGTGTTGTTCCGAACTGCGAAACATATCATTACGTGTAACCTCAACACACAGTTGACAAATCATAATCTACGAGTTTGAAAAAGATATGTCATTAATACAGATCATATTCATTACACAGGGCCGGTGAGTAGACCACGTAGTATTTCATAAAATACACTTATTTCCCTAATGCATTTACATGTTATACAAGACATTGTACTTTCCGCATCCTCGTCATAAAGAGGATCCCATGGGTTTAAGTTCTTCTCGTGCTGTAGTTTTTTTTTTTTTGCAGAATAATTTCGGTTGTGGCATATAATGTACAATCATATGATTGCGCATCCAATTTGACATTGCCATCTGACGTAACTTCCTTCTGCACTGGACTATCCCTTCAGATCTGACGCTGTTGATAGTGTTCTCCAAAAGCTTAACACCCCTTTCTTCTTCTCCGGTGTATATGTATATGAGGCTTACTACATATTCTGCCATTGAATTATGCAACTCAGTTGCTCTTTCCAACATTGTCAAGCCTTCGTCTAGCACCAGGGTGTTGAAGTATTGTTGCTACGGTAAAGAGAAATGCTAACACAGTGATTAGAAGTCTACAACAACCTTTCTGACGAATAAAATTCCCAATAAATAAGAAAGAAGACGTACAAATCCAAAGTCAAGCATTGCCTCAGGATGTTCATTCTCCACGCACGTCATGAAGAACTTCTCCGTCGCTTCTCAGTGTGGCCAGAACATTCGTGTTTTAATCCAGCGGAGGTAAATTTGTTGAAGGACCCCTTTTTCTTCATCTATCCGTCACAGTGTTTTACAACTATTATCATCAAGTTATATCGGTGAAATTAGATTACTACATTCTCTGTGTATGTGATGAGAAACAGAGTGCATCTTCCAAGTATAAGCGTACCTTAATTTGCACCGAAATAAATCAGCAGGAGATGACTTGGCAACGAAACTTAGAATGGTCGCCAACACTTCTGACGGCAGGATGTAAACCATAGAGGTTGTAAATTTTCGCCCTTTCGCTACTACATCCATTTTTGAATTTTTTAGAGAGGGAGATCGCATTGTCCGAATAGAAGGAAGTTAAATTTGATGCAAAAAGAGTTTGACACATAAATAGACTTCAAAGTGACGGTTCACGGGAGTGGATGTAGTGGGTTGGGAGTTGTGATGATGATGGTGGATAATTGAATTAGTGGGGGAGACTTATAAACCGGCGAGGATTTCTTGGAAACTGCCAATTAGAAGTTAATTAGAAGTTCCGCATGCATATATTAATTTATCTTACATATCTTACGTAATAAGTGTACTACTATCCCAATATTTCTAGATGGACAGGGTAAGTTACTAATAATTAAGTACTAGTCAAGTTACTAATCACTAATTAGTAGTCAAATTACTAATAACTAAGTCGTCATAGTACACTAGAATCTTACTGATTTGTTATTCAGGACATAGTGATATTTACAATGAACTGAGAGCACTGTTGGGAACTCTTCAACTAATGGCACTGAAAAGGGTTCAATACCATTTTATGCCGTAACACATACATGTACCAACAGTAGAGTTGTCTTAGTCCTTAAATTATGTCTTTAGATCGATGTTGGTGGTTAAACCATTATACAAATCAAACGTGTCAAGTTTGAAGTAGGCCTTGTTTGTTTTGTAATCCAGGGTACCACTAGGTAAACTTCGGTATACCGTTGAAGAAACGATGGTACACTGGAACCTATAGAATGAACCACTGAATACGGAAATGGATTGTTAATAACCAGGGTGGTAATACCTGCGTCGTAGCAGGAGGACGTTTACATCACCCAACTAGTGAAGTTACTAATAACTAATGACTAGTCAAGTTACTAATAACTAAGTCGTCGTAGTACAGTAGAATCTAAGTGATTTGTAATTCAGGACGGGTGGATATTTACGACGAACGTAAAGCATACTTGGGAACTCTTCAACAGCAATGACCGGGTTCAGTACCAATTTTTGCCGTAACACCTACATGTACCAACAGTAGACTTCTCATAGTGACTAAATCATGGAAATTGTCTTCAAACTCCCCCTAATCACCTACTAAACTTAACCTGAATTTAAACTTAAAAGGAATTGTGTAGATTACATAACTAAATATAAACAAACCAAGCTAATCCCAAGGATCATTTTTGGGGGGAGGACTGCGCCGCCTGTAAGCATCTGAATTGACCCAGAATCATCTTCTTCATCATCTTCAGCAGCTTCACCCTCGTCCTCATCCCCATGTTAATCATCTTCATCTTCATCTTCTGCCGCTTCCTCATCCTCATCAACTTCATCTTCTGCATCTTCCTCATTCTCATCATCTTCAGCGTCGTAGTCCTCAACATCTTCATCGTCGTAGTCCTCGTCCTCATCATCTTCATCCTCATCATCAGCATTCCCTTCTTGATTCTGGTCATCATCAGCATTACCAGCATCAGCACCACAAATAGCCACATCACCACCCCTGTCCTCCTCGATAATCCTCTCATCAGGTTGGTCATTTCCAACCGCATAACCTGGCGTGGAACGAATTGCGTGGATTTCACTCTGAAGGCGTGCAATTCGCTGTTTCCGGAGCTGGTGCAAACGGCCCGACAAAACCCTCGCTTCTTCTAGCTTTGCCGTATGTAATGTTGTCATCTTATCCATTTCTTCTAACCTTATCTTCTCCTGTGCATTGATTTCGTCCAACTCTGAGTACAACTTTGCAAGACGCCCTTTTACCTCAGTCACGTCCCGGTAACCCATGGTAGCTTCTTCGACAACCTTGAGACAAAATTGAGAGGGTAAATCCATGTTTCTGAATTGGTACGAAACAGGGGGGTTTTGGTACCATCCTGACTAAAGTGGTACAATGTGCTCATCCATTACTTGTACCACAAAAATCGCCCAAATAAATTTACAGAAATTATAAACCCGAAATTAATGGTTTATAAATTCGGTAGAAAGGAAAAACAGATAATTCTGTACCACTGTGAGTAAAGTAGTACAATTTCATCATCAATTTCATGTACCACCTTGAACATTGTCGCTGCATCTTTACTACAGTGGTACAAAAAACCCCAACAATACTCCGTAAAAATTCATAAACCCGAAATTATTAGTTTCAATCCCTCCGCTTTTTTAAGTCTAAATAGGAAATACAAATAAATCAGTCCCTTCCCCCTCCACCCCATTGTTGTCGTAATAAAGCAGGAAAGACTCACCCCATTAATGGCGACATGAGGAACAACAACACAAAAACAAGTGGGTACCAGACACAATATAGCAAATGCAGAATCATGATCATGATCACATGTTCACCACACTCCACACTACAACAAGAAACCATTACTGATAAGAAGGAAAACATTGGAGTTAACCACATGCAGAACGAAATCAAAAAAACCAGCAAAAAGGAAACTACCAACAAAACCACTAAGTAAACAAATAACACATTACTACAGAGAAAAAGCAGGAAACATAATTAAAGAGTCCTAAACCAGTAAACGGCGAAATGCATAGGAACATACCTTGGAGCGGAATTCACTTGACGAGGTTTTTTTAGGTTTTCTAGACGGCTTTAAAGGGGAATGAACAGGTGTTTTACTCTTACAACGAAGTATTGAAGTAAAATGAATACGGTGATGAACTATGGAATTAATGCTCCCAATTCTCGAGGGGAGGTAATGATGGTGTTTCATTTAAGAATTTTAATTATCCAATTTTCCTGTTATTTTTTTTTATTTAATTTCTTTATTTTTTAATTAGGAAACCTTACCAATTTCTAATTGTATCAATAATTTGTGGTAGTTATGTGTAATCCCCAATGTTCAAATCCAAACATCAATGATCATAATGAAAATCGCAATTAAACATTACATCTAGGATTATTATGAAAGTCGTAGTTAAACATTCAATTGTAATTCATTGTCTAGGATCATTAGGTTTCCTACAAAAGGGGATTCAGTTGATTTTATTTCATACGGCAAGGATCATTACGCTTGTTACAGAGGGGGATTAAGTTGATTTTGGTAATTTGTGATATTTATTTAATATGTTATTTTGACATGTTAGACCTTTACACTGGAATACGGTTCGATGCAGAGCGGTTACGGTTTGAAACAAATACGTCGTCATCATTTTTTTTTCGTACTATTATTTTTTCACCAGGTTTCCTTTATTTTGTTGTAAATTTTTTTACAAAAAACGCTATAATTATAAAGAAATAAAATATTTTATTTCAACAACCAAATTGTTGGTGTAACATCAATCAACTAGGTATTACCCATACGCTATCAACCATTGCACAATAAGAACTTTTTAGCGAATAATAAAAATGGGAAAAAGGATTCCCCAAAAATAGTACAAGTGCAACCATTACGTAAATTAAAATAACAAGGGAAATGATTTAATAATTAATTGTTATAAAATTTTTTGAGGAGCATTGTAATTTTGAACTAGTCCAATGAATTGCTCCAATAATATGGTCTTAAATCTTGAGTATGGTTGAGTTTAGGGTGTTTCTCCTTTAAAATTGTTCTTCTGATTGAGTATTGGTTTCAACGAATTTACGGTTCGGGGCCCGTTCCGATTTCAACATAAGTTTTCGGGCTACGATCGAATAACAACCTTCACAGATTAACTTACATATTATCTTACAAAAATAAATACCAGGTTCAACTATACTTGTACATTTAATTATTATCCGACTCAAATTACCGTCGTATTGTAGTGACAATTATTTATAAACCTCATAAACGCAAATTGATAACCCCGAATATATATACAAGGTGAATTATTGAATTTTTCTAAGCTCCGTCGAAGAATTATTATTCCGTCACAATTGCATTACATTACCAACTTTGCAAATACGATTTACGAATGGGTGCATGGGACACTTGAAACTATGAGTGTGGTAAAAGGACATGAATAAACTATGGTAATTCACCTTCATTCACGTGACACTTTTTTCTGACAATGAAATTTACACACTTCCTACTTTCCTAGTGATTCAAATATTATTGACAATGACAACTCAATGCCAAAGTGTCTGAGACATTTGCAAGCAAGTCATTAGGACTGCTGTTGGCCAATTTTCTCTGCACAACAGTGACGGATGAGCTCACTACCCTTCTGTGCAAAGAAGTAGACAACCGTGATAAATTTGGCTTCGTTTGTCGAGAATTGATAATTATGTAAAACACAATAAACGAAGCAATTTTCGTTGAAAAGCCACATTTTAGAAAAGCCACATGTATTCCATCATTACTGCATAGAAAAGACAAGTGGGTAATCCATTTATTAATCCTCCCATTGAATTGTCAAATCAAACCTTTTCACTAACTTCACCCTTTCAACTTCACACTCCTACTCAACCCCATTTATTACTTACACCCAATTACTTATACGGAGTTAAACCCAATTTCTTTCTCACTCTTCACTTTATAATATATGATCCGTGAAAAAACGTACTCGTATGATTTAATTTATCTCACTTAGTCATATTTATAATAAACATCGCAACTCTTCACATATACTCGTATGTATGACCTCATGGGACCGGATTATTATTAGTAGTAAACTAATCGCATTAGTCCACAAATCACAGTTCGTTTGTAGCAAAACATTATGATTACCTAAAATAACCGATTACAAATAATCTCCATATTTGTCCTAAAGCATTATGATTACCTAAAACATTATGTTTTCCTATACAGTTGGGTGATTTTTGTACCACTTTAGATACGAACATACGAAATTGTTCAGGATGGATATAAACTTGTACCACTTTTGTAAAAGTGGTACAAAACCCCCCTGTTTTGTACCTCTCGAAACATTACATGGTCTGACCCATTCAATTTTGTCGTATTTTATCACAGTGGTACAAAACATCCCCGAAATATGATGTGACCCTTTTAATTTTGTCCGTGCTTAAGAACGGAACGTACGACATTTTTCAAGGTGGGACATTAGTTGGAAATTTAATACCACTGTAATCTAGTGGTACAAGATCTATTGCACATTTAACAACTACGATAACATTTGTACCACTGTAATTTGGTCGGTACAATACCTCTTATGATGAGAAACAAATGTAAGGCTACATCCAATGTAAGTCTACATCCATCTACAAACACAACAATATGACATGGGACTATGGGAGGTTACTGTACTTCTCTAAGATTTAGCAGTTATGATGAATATGTTCTGCTTAAGAAGTATCCGTATTTATATATAATCAAATACCAATAACAATAACAATGCATGTACTATGTTGTCAAAGTGAGTTAATTATGTGTGCACATCTTGGACCTATTTTAAAACCAAACATGAATACAATTAAAGTATCATAACATTCCTCAATCTATGTTGACTAAAATGATTGAATCCTAAAGTAATACTCAATACATTCTGAATTAATGTTTCATAAGCCCTTGTCAAGGATGGTGTTATCGGTTTTCGGCTTATTTCAATTTTCTGTAGCAGCGTATCTCGAGGGAATTTTAAGGTGGCTTACAGCGTCATTATCCTGAAACAACCTAAGGATTTAGTTATAGAGCAGAAGATTTTATAGTTTGGCTCTCCATCAGATGACTGAATCCCCTTTGACAACCGTCCCAATTGATCAAAATTACGGATAGTAAGGCCAGATAAGGGTATCATATCTCCCTCAAGTTTCGATAACCAATTGTCGCCTAATCGAAACTTGAGGGAGATATAATACTCTTATCTTCACCGTTTTGATAGTCAGCGGGCCGTAAAATTCACAAAAGCATACCTGAAACTACCTCTCAAAGGAAGTAAAAACCAACAAATAAATAAAGAGAATGGATTGCAAAGTGCCGAACCGGGATGTTACAGTTCGTCAGAGAAGTGCAATCGCGAAACGGGTATCTCTCGAGGGATTTCTTAAGGTGGCGTACAACATCAATACGGAGAAATAACCAACCATAATTGAGGTAGTGAAGGAGGTTTTACAAAGGGAGAAATGGGAAAGTTTAAGGAGAGAATTTAGAAATAATTCAGGAACTAAACAAAGAGAATTAAGATTTGACAGGCAATGGACTCTTTCGGGTGGCATTGCTAAAAAGAATGAGGCTTTGAGCTAGAGATATGATGGATTTAGAAAACGGTGAAGGGGGGTCATCCTTAAATATTGTATGAGGTGACGGTTTAAGAGGAGTGAGAAGGTGAAAAAGTGGAGTGAAGAGTTGTGATTTGACAATTCAATGGGTGAAGGCAATAAGTACCGCTAATTCCCTGTACTTGGCAATAATGACATGTGCATGTGTTTGGCAATAGGGACGCGGAAAGGTTTATAAAAGAGGTAGTTTCCACAAAAGAGTATTTCAAAACTTGATTTAATCAGTATCGAAAGATATATTCATCAAATCCTTATTTACTGCCATATTTGAAAATCAGACAGGTTTTATAGAAAATATAAGAAGATATCTTCATCAATTATTTTGTTCCAATTTATTACTGTATTTGCTGCCATTTTTCTATCCTGATATTCATCAAATATTATGCCAATATTAAGTGAATCAAAGGGTAACACCATGTTACGAGAGTGGTGCAAAACGGGTGGGTTTTGTACCACCGTCAGTAAAGTGGTAGAAGTTCATATCCTCCCTGACGTATCTTCGTGTCTCTAGTGGTACAAAAATCACCTAAATGTATTGGTATACATAGTGTTTTCGGACAAATATGGAGATCAATTGTAATCGGTTATTTTAGGTAATCATAATGTTTAGCTAGAAACCAACTGTGATATGTGAACTAATGCGATATGTTTACTGCTAATAACAATCTGG